CTTGTTAGATTCTTCATCAGTCTGTACTTCTGGTTCAGTTGTGGAAGGTGGCAGTTCCTTGTCACTGCTTGAGTCTTCCTCACCTTCCTTCTCCATTCTTTTTTCTTCTCTTTTAGTTTTTTCCTGTTCCTTCTTCTTTTTGCTGTCTACTAGTTTTTGTTTTTTTCGGCAAATTTCATCCAATAGAGGCTTTTTTCTCTTAACACTACGTTCATAAATAGTTTTACCAGAAGTATCAATCCATCTCATTCCTTGATAGGCATACTCAAAATTATACCTGGCACTCATTCTCTTGATGCCTATGCCAGAAGTGCTTAAGTGTTTTCCACAGTCCATAGAATTAGCAAGTCGTAGTCTTGCCTCGACTGCGTATTTTGAATATAGTTGAGTTAATTCCATCTGGAAAACAAAATCTTCAGGATCTTTGGAAATAAGAATATTTTCCTTCAAGAAGCTTTCAAAGCTTTCTCTGCCTACGTAATTTTTTCCACATCCGAGGACCACCAGCATGTTCTCCTCGTATTTCTTCATATTGAGGTCTTCCAGCTGGCGAGTCTTGTGTTTCAAGATGTTCTTCTGGACTTCCACTTTCTCTTCAACTAAAGATTATATCTTTGGAGGACGGTTTCTTACCCTTGAAGAGCAGAAGATATTTAGTACTGTTATAGTAAGTCTCTGAGGTACTTCACCTTAGACTATACACGTATAATATAGTCACACTGAAGGAGTTCACTCCTTCAATATCTCTTACCGTCGAAGAGCAGAAGATATTTAGTACTGCTATAGTAAGTCTCTGAGGTACTTCCGTTTAGACTATACACTTATAATATAGTCACACTGAAGGAGTTCACTCCAATATTTCTTACCGTCGAAGAGCAGAAGATATTTAGTACTGTTATAGTAAGTCTCTGAGGTACTTCACCTTAGACTATACACTTACAGTTAGACACACTCAAGGATTTCACTCCTTCAGTGTCTTAACTATATTATAGTACTTCAAGTTCTTTAATATATTATAGTACTTCAAGGTCTTAACTACAGTATATTACTTCAAGGTTCTTTAATATAAATGTAGTGAAGCTAATAGTGAAGGAAACTAGAAGTGCTTTGGTTACTCCAGTGATGTAAGTGATGACTGACAGCATCCTGTAGTGATGACTGACAGCATCCTGTACTGATAACTGACAGCATCCTGTAGTGATGACTGACAGCATCCTGTAGTGATGACTGACAGCATCCTGTAGTGATGACTGACAGCATCCTGTAGTGATGACTGACAGCATCCTGTAGTGATGAATAACAGTATCCTGTAGTGATGAATGACAGCATCCTTTAGTGATGACTGACAGCATCCTGTAGGTGAAGAATGACAGCATCCTGTTATGATGATTGAAAGCATCCTGTAGTGATGACTGACAGCATCCTGTAGTGATGACTGACAGCATCCTGTAGTGATGAATTACAGCATCCTGTAGTGATGACTGACAGCATCCTGTAGTGATGAATGACAGCATCCTGTAGTGATGAATGACAGCATTCTGTAGTGATGAATTACAGCATCCTGTAGTGATGAATGACAACTGTAGTGATGTTTAATACTTAACAATTTACTGTAGTGATTTTGAGCACATAACAGTTTACTTTAGTGATGTGTAGTGTAGTACTGAACAGTTTATTGTAGCGTTGAGCACTGAGCAGTTTACTGTAGTGATGTGGTGTATTTAGCAGTTTACTGTAGTGATGTAAAGTACATAACACTGTACTGTAGTGATGTAGAGAAGTGAATAGTTTTCTTTAGTAATATGGAGTACTGAATAGTTTACTGTAGTGATGTGGAATACTTAACAATTTACTGTAGTGCATTATTAGATTTTTATATAAAAGAAGCACTAAACCCACTAGGGTCACACAGTGGTTCAGGACAGAGGGTGTTGGTGCAGCAGATTATTATTATTATTATAATCAAGGGGGAAGCGCTAAACCCGGAGGATTATACAGCGCCTGGGGGGGGAGATGTGGAAGGCATTCAGGCTTAATTCGGGGAACTGGAGCACAGATCCAATTCCCTAAATCAAGAGCCCCTCACCAACATCAAGGAACCTTCCTTGAGGGGTGGTGCAGCAGAAAATAGCCAGTGGTGGAGAGGATAACAGAGTTGAGTTAGAATGGGCTGTCAGAAGTGCTAAAGGAAAGTATTATCAAAGTTTGTTTAATAAGTCTGTTGCTGTGTAAAAGTTAAAGAGGAAGTCTGTGTCGAAGGTGAAGCCGTCGGCAAGGCTGGAAGATAAATTAATAATAACAATAATATCTTTATTACTGCCAGTACACGATACAACTTGTACAGACCATAGCTGACATCAATGACATACTACCATATAGAAAGTCCCTTGTTATGCAGGGCATTTCCTGCAAATTAGGTCAGTTTTGTCCCAGGATGTGACCCACACCAGTCCACTAACACCCAGGATGCGACCTACACCAATCCACTAACACCCAGGTTGCGACCCACACCAGTCCACTAACACCCAGGATGTGACCCACACCAGTCCACTAACACCCAGGATGCGGCCTACACCAATCCACTAACACCCAGGATGCGACCCACACCAGTCCAATAACTCCCAGGATGCGACCCACATCAGTCCAATAACACCCAAGATGCGACCTTCACCAGTCCACTAACACCCAGGATGCAACCTACCCCGAGTCCACTAACACCCAGGATACAACCCACACCAGTCCACTAACACCCAGGATGCAACCTACCCCGAGTCCACTAACACCCAGGATACAACCCACACCAATCCACTTACAACCAGGATACAACCCACACCAGTCCACTAACACCCAGGATGCGACCCACACCAGTCCACTAACTCACAGGATGTGACCCTCACCAGTCCACTAACACCCGGATGTGACCCACATCAGTCCACTAACACCCAGGATGTGACCCACACCAGTCCACTAACACCCAGGATGTGACCCACACTAGTCCACTAGCACCCAGGATGTGACCCACACCAGTCCACTAACACCCAGGATGTGGCCCACACCAGTCCACTAACACCCAGGATGTGACCCACACCAGTCCACTAACACCCAGGATGCAACCCACACCACTCCACTAACACCCAGGATGTGACCCACACCAGTCCACTAACACCCAGGATGCAACCTACACCAGTCCACTAACACCCAGGATGCCACCCACACCACTCCACTAACACCCAGGATGCAACCCACACCACTCCACTAACACCCAGGATGTGACCCACACCAGTCCACTAACACCCAGGATGCAACCTACACCAGTCCACTAACACCCAGGATACCACCCACACCACTCCACTAACACCCAGGATGCAACCCACACCACTCCACTAACACCCAGGATGTGACCCACACCAGTCCACTAACACCCAGGATGCAACCTACACCAGTCCACTAACACCCAGGATGCCACCCACACCACTCCACTAACACCCAGGATGCCACCCACACCACTCCACTAACACCCAGGATGCGACCCACACCAGCTGACTGACACCCAGGTTCCCACTTTACTGATGGGTGAACATAAACAGTCAGTGTAAGGAAGCAAGTACACCTACCATTCGACTTACGACCTGCTCGACATACGTCCACTCCACTTACGCCCACCGTGAATCTGGCAGCTGGGCTGGGCTGGCTGATGCACACCACTGTACAATATTTGACAATACTTGTGGCGGCAATGCGTCATGCAGGCAGCATCAGTTTGAGTAACCCTGTCCTATCAGCAGCATCATACTGTATTAACTGTACTAACTGGACAGTAAATTTCACCATGGCCCCTAAGATGAAGTCTGTGGTAAGAAAGGCTCTTACTCTCAAACTCTCTATTTGTTTTTACTGTTGCACATAAACCTGTCTGTATCTGTCTGCCTATATATCTGTGTATCTCTGTTATTGGCAGTTTGGAGGGATATGTTGTGTATCTTTATACGTATATGCTTCTAAACTGTTGTATTCTGAGCTCCTTTGCAAAAGCAGTGATAATGTGTGAGTGTGGTGAAAGTGTTGAATGATGATGAAAGCATTTTCTTTTTGGGGATTTTCTTTCTTTTTTGGGTCACCCTGCCTCGGTGGGAGACAGCCGACTTGTTGAAATAAAAAAAAAAAATCTGTGTGTGTGTGTTTATCTGTCTATCTGTGTCTGTCTTTCTGTCTACCTGTGTGTCTGTCTGTCTATCTGTGTGTCTGTCTACCTGTGTGTCTTTCTGTCTACCTGTGTGTGTCTACCTGTGTGTGTGTCTACCTGTGTGTCTTTCTGTCTACCTGTGTCTGTCTTTCTGTCTACCGGTGTGTCTGTCTTTCTGTCTACCTGTGTGTGTCTTTCTGTCTACCTGTGTGTGTCTTTTTGTCTACCTGAGTGTCTTTCTGTCTACCCTGTAGGTGTCTTTCTGTCTACCTGTGTGTCTTTCTGTCTACCTGTGTGTGTCTTTCTGTCTACCTGTGTGTGTCTTTGTCTACCTGAGTGTCTTTCTGTCTACCTGTGTGTCTGTCTACCTGTGTGTCTTTCTGTCTACCTATGTCTGTCTTTCTGTCTGCTTGTCTGTCTCAGAGCCACTCTAATCCCATAAGGCTCATACAATGCCTGGGAAAAGAATAGGGAGGCACAATACTGTGTCTGGATCAACACACAAATAACCCAGACACAGGAGAATGAAACTTGTGACATCTCATTATTGGTACAAGTCGGACCGAAATGTCATCATTAGTTTCATTCTCCCATGTGTGGATTATATGTGCATAGTGCCTGGGAAAAGGGAGGTAATCAGGTTTGATCCAAGGAAAGTACATCCATTCCCTTGGATCATGAGCCCTTCATTATGAAAGTGCTCCTTCCTTGAAGGGTCTTTAGAGAAGTGTTTTATCTTGGGATATATTTTCTCCAGTAGTGTTACTGTTCAACTCTGTGAGTGTTTAAACATATAATCAGTAAAGTTGTGTGTCAGCAGTTGTCGGAGCATCTGGAGAAGAAGGAAGCTGTTCTCTCTGAAGTTCTCTCAGCTGCTAATCTGGATCCCACCTCATTTAACCACGTCAGCCACCAACTAGAGGTATATATTGCATCCATTATAAAAAAAAAAAATGTCGAAAGATAAGAATATTTATTATTATTATCAGTGGTCAATGAAAAACACTTTAAGAAAGTAAGATCTTTATTTTATGAGGTTACTAACAATGGAGCTTTATATAGCTCCACTATGGGTGAAGCATTGTAAAACAAAGATTTTCCTTCCCTAAATTATTACATTCATGGGAAAAGAGGAAAGCTCATAGAGCTGGGGTAACAGTAGGCAATTATATTTGATCCTAGGAAAGGAAGGATATATTAGATTCTATGGACCAAGATCCCCTAACCAGCAATAAAGCACTTTCCTTGCCTTGATGGGGAATTTTAATGCTGTCACTTAGGAATCCTTAGTTTTCCATGCTCTGTCTACAACTGTTTAACCAGTTCATAAATAGTGTTTTACTCTCACTTGTCAGCCTTCCTCTTTGTCAAATCAAACACAATTATCTCTATTCCTAGACACTGAATAACCCCCATGGATTTAGTGGTTCCCAGTGAAGACATAGGTAATTGTTCCACTAAATTTTAAATTTGAACTGGTAGCCCGCCCAGCTACCACACATGAGTTTAAAGATGGATTAATGAAAATGTCTATGCCGTAATTTATGACATTTAAAGTGCCTCAGAGTAGTTACTATTATTATTGCCATTGGCTTACTATGTTCACTGAGTTTCATCATTGCTAACTTGGCATTTAAAGTAAGAGTCTTACAACTCCTCTTTTTATCACAACTACCCTTAGATGCCATTGTAACTGATAGAGAACAAGAGAAATGCAAAGAATGTAAACAAACTGAGAGGGAACGGATGGTGGGAGGTCAAATTAACGCAGTTCATAAGCGTTCATTTTGCATAATGCACATGTTTAAGCTTTTTCCCCACAATACAAACACCTTACAGTGTATACAAGTTATCTTCACATTGGTGCAGTATAATAAATAATAGCAACACTCCCATTCTCGTGCAACACATCATTTTTAGAGCAAATGATGCTATGAGTGAAGACATGAAGGAGATATTTTTCTATAGTTACCCCCTAGTAATACTATACTGTATACAGCTTCTCTAGTGTTAGATTAAAGAAAACATAATTCTTGCCATCTCTCCTACAAGCCAACATTTAAAGCTCCCCACAGCTAGCGAGACACTCTTAGTGATTTTAATGTGTACCTGCATGCCAGCACTGTGTGTAAGTTTATTTAGGTACAGGTACACATAAGTACAATTATCAGAGTATACATAAAATATGCTTTAACGTTAAAACACTTGAAATTTTTTAAAGTTTTCAGACATGATTGCAGAGCTCACGATGATGTAAACAGTGGCGTGCAGATGCCATAATAGTAATCAGGGAGCCGTATAACTGAATTTTTGGTTGTAATTTGAAATGTCTGTATTAGTAAATTGCCATAAAGCAGGGCCTTCCTATATGTGTATATCATTTCCTGATCCTAGGTATGATAAACTACACCCTTGAAGAGGGTACCTTGATGCCAGTGAAGGATTCTTAATCCAAGGAATTTAAGCTATCCCCTGGAATCAAACTGATTACCTTTATTTCCCAGGCCCTATATGACCTCCATATGGGTTTAGTGCTTTCCCATAAATATAAGCGTCCAATAGGGACTGACATATATGACGAGTATAGTCTGTCTAATCATACAGAGTAATACGCTCATTCATTACAGACAATTGTTGACGAGAAAAATCAACTAGTTGGAGGCTTGCGTGAAGAAGTAGCAACTCTGCGACGTATGTACACAAACCTCATGGATAAATATCAGTCTACCCTCAGAAGCAATGCCAAACCAAAGACTACTACTAAATTTCCCAACATTTCAATATAAACCCAATCTGTCAATCACTCCAGCATTGGTGGATTTAAATGGTGTGTTGCCAAGACTAGTGAAGAGAAGATGTGATACAGAGGAAGCTTTTATTGGGACAACATTTACAGCTTTATCAAGTCACACAGAATGCATGCATATACTGTGTTTAAACTCCTTGTGGGGAGTAAGAGGTGAGGTGAGTGTAATCATTAATGTCTGATGAATCTTCCATGAAGTTTTGCAAGAGATACACTGGTCAGTGTTGTTCAACTGTCTCCTGGTTTCTGGCTGGCACATTTGCCCTAATCTTGTGCAACTCTAGTGCCAAAACTTTCTCTGAGGAAACAACTGGTAACTCTAACAAGACACATTTGTAGTAACTAGTATATTTAATGAGGAATTGTTTTGGCCACAAAGGGCTTTATCAAGCCAGTATAGAGAATAGAAAATACTGGATATAGATAGTGAATCGGGTCAGCTGCGGGCATGCATTGGAAGGCAGAGCTACTAGGCATGGCTGTGTTCTGCTTTAATAGGATGTGTAAAGCAAATTTTTCCCAAAACCATAAACTGCCTTGCTTTGAGTGGTGGATTTGATAGTAGCAATGAAAGCAAATTCCAATTAGAATCTGCAACTAGGCCAAGTTTCTTGGTGACAACTTGGCACTTAGGAAGTCAAATGAATGGTTACTTCGTGTTATGGTACAGGCATTAAGTGGTTCCTTTTGGCTAGTGTACTTATGTTCACTGGTGTCTTTGATTCTCGTAGATGTTTTCACCATGTATATTTTTCCCCCACATTAGATGGTGTAAGTACTATTTTTTGATTCACTGTTTTTTGTGCATTACATTCTAGTTTGTTACTATGTTCTTAATGGTGTTGAAAGTCATATTGGCTATGCAGGTCTTTTATCAATAAGATTATAGACATTCTCAGAGCCATCCCAACAGGAGAGCAATGTACCTGTCAGGAGTCTTTTAGGGGTGGGGTAAGACCTTAAGACCCTTTTCCCTCCTCAGCATTTGATGAAATGTGTTGAGTACTGAAGGTTGAAAAGCTTAAAGTGTATACAACTGCAATCTTGGGGGAGAGCTTGATATTCAATAAGCTCTTAACAACCTATAATGACTCTTAGTACATGGGTCATGGTGTAATGGGTAATGTGGTTCATCCTTGTTCATGGGTTTCCTGCAAACTTTGAAATCTAAATTGTGGCCATTCCTGCAAAGTAAATTATGAAAGAGTAGGCAATTATTCTGTTCCTTCTCCATGGTAAATGTGATGAGAGGTTTCCATGGAGTTGGTGAGACGCAAAGGGGTGTCCAGATGGCTAGATACAATACCATATAAACTGTGTTCTCTCTCTGAAGATGTATAGCTGGGGGAAAGCTGTACACCTCCAGAGTAACATGGCATTAGGGGATAACATCCTGGTAATCACACCTAGACATCTGGACACCACTGCACTTCTCAACATCAGCTCCAAGTTCACCATGTAGGAGGAAAAGAATAATTACCTACTCTTCCAGTTTACTTTGCAATAATAGCCAAAAATTGGATTTCAGAGCCTACAGGAAACCCACAAATAAGGATCTTCTACACTCCTATCATGAACCCACATACTAAGAGAGGAATCATCATAGGCTTTTCAGAGCTTATAAAATTTCAAACCCTGCATTCCTTGAAGAATGTAGTTGTATACCCCAGGCCCTTTTTTCCAAACTTCAGTACTCACCACATTTAATAAAGCGATTTTAAGAAAGGCTATGAAGGTCTTAACACATCATTGGTCTCCCAATTCAACAGGGTTCTGAGAAAGTCAACTACTTTATTGTTAAAAGACCTTCATGGCCAGCATGACTTTTAACACCACAAACATTATTAACAAATAGGAATGCACAACACCCCAAAACTGAAAGCTAGTATTTACAACCACCCATTGTGGGAAATTTATACATGGTGAAAACACCTAGAACATAAAAACAACGAAACCCGTGAATGGTTAGCAGAATTGCCAGAAATTACCTAGCACCTCTAACACCCATAACCATCTCATGGATTTCCAAAGTGCCGGCTTGTCACCAAGGAATATGACCTGTGTCACAGATGCTGTCTGGAATTTGCTCTCATTGCTACTACCACCACCACTCAAAACACAGGCAGTCTTAGATCTAAGGAAATACTTGCCACACACATCCTGTCTAAGGCAGAACACGCCATGCCTGTCTGCCTTCCAGTTTCATGCATTACCTGACCTGACCCATTACACATATCCTGTGCTTTCTATTCTCTCTATTGGATTGATCAAGCATTTTATGGCCCAAAACCCTTTCCTCATTGAATGTTATAGTTATTGTTTTTGTTGTTTTTTACCAATGTTTTCCTCAGAGAAAGTCTTGGCAAATAGAGTTGCCCGAGATTAGGGCAAATGTGCCAGCCAGAAACCAGGAGACAGGAACAACACTGACCCTGTACTTCTTGCAAAGCTTCAGACCTAAAATTCATCAAATGGATTACACTCCTTCCCTTTTCCAAGAAGTACATGTATGAGAGCATTTTGCCAAGCTTGATTCCTTCATTACAAAAATACCATAAATGAGACTTAATATCTTTGTTTTCATTAGCATTTCTTTTTGTATAATAGCTGAAGTAAATTTCTTAGGTATGCCTGTGGTTTACTCTTTCCTGAAGACTTCTGTGAATTACTAAAGTCATTGGGGAATACTACACCCATAGGAATGACTGTCTGTGGAAGAGTAACAGACACACAATTGTAGTGAAAACCTTTCTTTGTACAATGCTCAACACTGGTCTTTTTCAAGTACTTAACAGACATGAGAAACTATGGCTTAAATAGTCCAGAGGGAGTGACTATCACTTGTTCAGGTAACATATGTTTGGATACAAGTTAAACCACTCTTGGTGTGGGAGGTGCACTGTTGGAGGCCTGCTGGCCTATGTTCAGTTTACCATGATTTACAACTACATTATATGCACTGTGGACATTGACAAAGTAAACATCCCACTGTTTTGTTTGGTGTTGGTTAGTTTAACATGATTCCAGGCATCTTAGTTCACTATGAGATATGTATGAGATGTAGTGCTGTATGTGGGCACCCCTCAAGGAAGGTTCCTTGATGTTGGTGAGGGGCTCTTGATTTAGGGAATTGGATCTGTGCTCCAGTTCCCCGAATTAAGCCTGAATGCCTTCCACAATCCCCCCCCCAGGGCGCTGGTATAATCCCCGGTTTAGGCGTCTCCCCCCTTGATTATAATATTTAAAAATAATGTATGTGGGCATTATCAGTGTTAGACTGGAAAAATTCTGGCTATCTTGATGTATACCAGGTCACAACCATCACATAGGATTCTGTGCACTCCTGCATCCTTAGGGCTGGTAAATGGTGTTTGACAAGGTCTTTGTGAAGTGCTGTATGGTTTTTGTAGTGGTTACTATGAAGTCGGTGCTGGATTTCTGATATTTGTCAGCAACATGAATCTCCATGTCTGTTTTCCCTGCGACATTTCGGTTTATATATTTTTGCTTACATTACAGAGAAATTGATGTGAAAAAAAACATAAGGCTTGTAAAGCATTCTTGATGTTTAATGCCTCTTCCAGAATTCCTCCGCAGATTCTCAATGCTTAAACAATCCCTCTTTTTTTAAATTGGTTGAAAAGAAGAAAAACATTGTCTTCAGCATTCCACTTGTTTGGGGAGTCTGAATTGAAAAAGGTAATTTCATTTTTGTTCCCTCTTCCATGTAAATTTGTAGGGAGGGTCCCATTTGGGTTTAAAATGCTCTTGGAGTTGTATGGGGTGATCACCCTTGGGTTTTTGAGATTTAAAATGCATCTATATACTTTAACTAGCTGGCCCTTTCTCCAGATGTTCTTGGTACAGATTTCCCGGGGCAGCACTCGGGGAACCTTTTGTTTAATTTCCAAACATCTGCTTGTGGTGGGGGGGTTCCCATAAAGCATTAAAGCTAACACAATTTGTTGCAGACACTACAAAAACTATAAAAATTTTCCAAGGACCTCAATGCCATAAACCAAACACAAGGATATAAAAGTGTCAGAAACTGTCTGAGGTTTGCCCGGGTTAACATTGACAAAGCAGCCAGAAGTCAAAACCAGGACACTCAGGAGGAGCACCAGAAAACCCCTGCATAGCTGCAATGCTCCTGCACATTTTTGGTTTGGGGAACAAACCCACCCTCTGGACCGGGAAAATGACAAACTTAGAAGATGTCCGGAATCATTAAACAACCAAGTCCCCAAAACAAAAAAATGGGATATTACTTGTCAACTCCCATAGTAAGCTGAACATGAGCCACGGGCCTCTCACAGTAAACCCCTTCCATTCCAATTAGATTTGCTCCCCCCAAACAGAAACATGAAAACCGGTGACATCACTCCCCTCTGAATTTTTTAAACCGTAGTTTCTCATGTCTCCAGAGTCATGAAGAACTAATTTTTGAGTTAAATTTTACAAAGAAAGGTTTTCACTCGTTTGTTTTGCTGCCAATTACAGACACTGTCCCCCCCTACAGATGTGTTTTCCCAAAAACAATAATAATAATTTCCTAAAATAATTACTTGCAGTTTAACGTTTTCCAACGCAGTGGTAGGGCCCCCCAAACAAACAGGCTTGATCCAAGGAGAGTTTAGCTTGAATTCTCTAGAACAAAACCCCTTTATCAGCTCGGGGCAGCATCCTTAAGAGATAGGCAGGCCGGGGGGTCTTTAAATTTGGAAAAATTAACCAAATAAAAAAACCGGAAAAAAAAAAACCCGGAACAAAAAAAATTTATTCAGTTAAATAAATTTTTTTTTGTACAAAAAAAAAAAGACCCCACAAAAATTAAATAAATTTTTTTAAAAAATACCCCCCTCAAAAATTTTTTGGGGGTTTTTGCTGAGGGAGGGCCCCACCCCTAAAAGGGAAATTTCCCCCCCCCCCCCAAAAGGTTTTTAAAAAATTTATTTATGCCCCCAAAAAATAATTTTTTGTAAAAACTATGGGAAACATGAATAAAGAATTTAAAATTTTTTAATTCTTTAGGGGTAAAAGGGGGGGTTTTAAAAAGTTCAAGTTGAATTAGTTTAAAAGGAAAAATAATTTGAGAAAAACAAAAATCAGGAACTTTTTTAAAAAGGGGGGAACACTAAATCCATAGGGGCATATATCCTGGGGGAAGTGGTACCCTTATTTGATCCAAAAAGGATAAGTCCATTTCCTTGCCTTAAGACCCCCTTATAGCGGGGAAATTCATCCTTGAAAAAAGGGAAAAATTAACATCTTACCATAATTATTATATACGATTAAACCCAAAAAATCAAGTTATTTAAAAAAGACTACATTAAACAGCTGTATTACACAATAACCCAAAACCCGCACCTAAAAACGAACTTACACACGGGTTTTCCAAAACTTTTTCCCCCAATTTGTAGGGTTTTTTAATTTGTGG